GTCTTAAAGTAGAGATCTCAAGCTTTAATTTGAAAAAAAGAGCATAACTTTGCGATGATTTTTCACGGAGTTATCATCAGTCAAATTTGGCCAATTTTTGCCTAAAATTTTTCTATGCCATATTTCTTTTGAGCAGTGTATTAAAATAGAAGTCAGTGATAACAAAATAATGAACCGATTAAGAATAATGTAACAGATAATTGATTTCGATCAAACTAACTGTACAATTGAAAATATATAAATAACGGAAATAAACCTACTTCAACTCCAGTATAACTTAAAATTTACTTCTATTCGGGTTAGCAACCCTTAATGAATGAATTAAGGATGATGTTCGAAATATAATCGCATCCAGTCGTGACTAAATTGAACTATTTTCTTTCAAACATTTAATGACCACTAATATTTAAAGTGAAACAAAACTATAATACGGAAACTCACTTATACAAAGATTCTTCATCTCGACGCAGATTAAGAATATACATTTTGATAAAGGCATCTTAATAATTTTCATAATTGAAAATGAATCTAAGATCCATCATTTTTACGAATCCCTTAAATCAAGTGCTAATGTAGCATATAGGCAGTTAAGTATTCCACAATGATAAATTTTAAGTCCACGTTAAAATACAATCTGCCAAAGCCATATTTCATTTTTAGAAATAAATCTATAAAAACATAATTTTTCAAATCTTCTTCTAAGTATCGACATCTTTGTTTCTTTGTCACTTGACAAAAGTTTCCCTTGATAATGATCGATTAGTTAAAAATCCACGAAAGTCTCCCATTTTAGTTCAACCAAAAATAAATCCACAAGAAAATAATAATCAATTTTCTAACTGATAACTAAATTAAAACACAAACTATTAAATAACGCTATTAATCCTAATGATTTATGGAAGTTGTAATCTAGATAAATCAATATACATGACAAGGTTAAAACGTTAATTAACGACACGGTGTTTCAGTCCTTCGTTCGCGGACCGTGGCTTATTAGCCTGATTTACACGCAACGATCTTTCTCTATGCCTAGCCAGACCGCGGAAATATTCTTCACGATTGGTCACTGATGAGTAACGTATTTTCCTTTTGTATGGGGCAAGGTCATTAGGACCCGTTAGGGCATAGAAATATTCTAGGGAATTGTAACACAAGAACAATTCATAAGGCCGTAACTGATCCATTTCAAATGTGACTGTTCCTTATCGTTCCTGTTACTTGTCTTTCCTATTTCGTTGTCTGAATTTTTCAAATTTCACAGCCATCGATTCTCAAAAGTTTGAAATTTTCATGGATCGATGTACACATCGTGCACACTATGTAGTACTCAAGCACTCAGCTGATTGTTGGATCATAACACAATAACAAAAATATATCATTGTTTTTTTGTTCCAGGTGGTGCAGCGAAACACATCGGCGGATGGTTCTTGTTGAATATCGCAGTGATGCTGATGCTATGCAATATAAGATAACATCAATGAACCCGAGTATATGCATGTGACTGTATCGAAACGGAGAGAGGAAATTGTTTGTAAAATTTTGAAATTATTAAGTGCGACGAGGAACGGGGCAAAAAAAGATCTTTCGTTAACATAATAAATATCGATCGTATGTTATTCGTGTAAATAGGATAAAAATTTAGCGAATTATTTAAGTGTAATTACGACCCGCGCTGTCTCGTTGCAGCGAGACGAATTTATAACCCGAAGAACATACTGCCGTAACATTATGTATTAGAACGACGATGTATCACGCCACAGTATTCGGATAATTGTTTGGATACTATTACATCGTGTTTTCTATTCTCCGACAATGATTTTGATACCTCTTCTGTAACACCGTAGCCACCGGAATGTAACTCATCATCATGTTTCTAGGTGAAAGCTGTTATTGTTTGTGAATGAAGTTTTATTTAAATGAAAAACAAATAAATGATTCACCTTTGTTATTTAATCTATTCTTTCCCTGAAAATTTATGATCATCCTACTTATTCCTAAAAAGTAAATCCTTAATCAAGCACCATGAGACGATTCACCATAGTGACAAATAAAAGTATTCTTTATTATTCTTACAATTGTTGCAGAAGATAAAATTCTTTAGTATTAGGTGAGTGCAATAGTTCTGTAGGTTTTCGAGGTACTTTTTTTATTTTACAAAATGATACTCCAATATATCTGCAAAATTTAAAATTCAACATTCTCAAAAGTTCATAAATAAAAATTTTAATGATTTAATTTAGTTAACGAGAGATGTCTTCATTATAATAATGTTGAAACTCATACTACATTATTCCGTGTAATCTAACAATATGTCTGGGAAATGCTATATAATTTTAACATTTTTCTAACATTCTAATAGATTTCCATTCGTTTATGTCACCATAAACCATTTTAAATAGTTGAACATTTATAAATAAGTTAATAAACAATTTAAATTAGCTACCGATTACTATGTACACTTTAAGTATCATGAACTTCATTTAAATAACTATTACATATATATAAAATAAATAAAAATACTAAAGAAAGGTATTATGCCTTAAGTTTTTATTACCTAAAACCAACAGATCTTTTGCCCTGACCTAATTTATCAAAACTTACACCTTATGCAAAATCTGTACATAACAATAGAATTGAAAATTAAGTAAATAATTTGGTATCCCTTATGACTATCAAATTTAATTAATCTCATGTTAAAATACAGAATAATTATTATCAGGATTTAATAATAAAGTATAAACGAAGGCAACTTAATAATAGTATTAATGTAAATTGACACAAGTAATGAACGATTTGCATTTAAATGCTTAGTTCAGTGAACTTGACAGTATTTTACGTGTGATTATTTCCTTTCTTTCTGCATTTGATCATCGAGTTTCATTTCTATCACATCTGCTGTTGCGTCTCTGACTTTGCTCTTCTCTAAACCTAGCTGCTGAATCTTCTCCATCTGTTCGGTGACGTATGCCACTCTTCTATCGAAGTAATCCTTTGCATCCGTTACATTCTTCTGTGCGTAATAACCAGTTCCGATGTCGATTAGTACATTATTCGTATCTGCGAGCTTACCAACCACATACATAGACCCAGTTAACGGTACAAGAATTTCATTCCCTGCAACAAGATCATTGTTTATGTAATATTTCCTAACCTCAATTAACCTCACTAAGAATCCACCTGAATTCTATGCTTTATAAAATTAAGAGAAATAAAAATATATTTAAACTCACCTTCCATGGCAGGAGTAATTTTCTCCAGACATGATCCTGATTCCTGAAACTTAGTTTGTGCAATTTTCAAAGTTTGCAGAGAATCTTGGAAGACACCGAGTTCTTTATCCAATTGTTGCTTCAGTATCGTGAGTTGTTGGAGATTTAACGTTGTCAAATCGATTTGCTGCAGGTGCGGTGCTTCTGACATGGAAACTTCCGACATTTTAAGCGATTTATTAAAAGAACTATATTACTTCAAAGCAACTCTTGACACCCGCTCAGATAACCAAAAACGGACAACGCTGGATACATGAGTTCATGTAATAGAGGGATATGGATACGAGTAACAAATTCTGACATTCTTCAACAGATGTCGCGACATTCGTACTCGACAGTGACTACGCGGAAAACATTTACAGCGCCATCTTCTTAACATCTGTTGCTAATACGTATATTTTAAAGTGATCAGATAATATGTCATGTACGTTTTAATTCGTTAAAATATTATAACTGTTTTGTGATACTGTGTGTTCTAATTACAATGGATTTCGTTTAATAAAATGAAAATTCATCCACTGCTGATTTTGGCTCTCCACAAAGATGAGATGACAACGTCACCATTACGAGGTCAGTAACATACATTTCTGTTCGGCTTGATCGCTTTTTAAGCATCAAATGCATTTCAATACAGTGACTTAAAACGTATAATCGTTTTACTAGCTTTTACAAGTGCACAAAGTCATGTACTAACGGAAAAGCAAGTCAAATTTAATTACGTTAAATTTGACGCGCCACCGCTAAATGCCACAAAATTCAATTTTTTATATTATCGATTTTAACGCTTTAAATGGACAGTGTTACTATTACTCGTGTTATATTTGATCGTAGAACGTTTTACCTGCGTCAATGAAACTCAAAAATCGTTTATTTTTCTATAAAGAGTCATTTTATATGTGTTAGTTTCACCGTGTGTCACTAGGTGACGATACCAGTGCTGTCTCGTAGAACTGTATCTATGTAAAAAGATTGAAATTTGTCATTACCGTCGTAGAATAACGCCATAATAATTCTGACACGTGTAAAAATATGCCCATTTATTATGTGAAAGTTAAACGAGTTTTTTCAATAATTCGTTTACTTCTATGAATTATCTGCTAAATTATTAATAGGTTTGGGTTGATATAAAAAGTCAGGATTATAAATGAAATGTGTTTAAATCATACGACAAACTTAATACTGAAACATGAATTAACATACAAAACCATATCTTGTCTCAACAAAAGACGCCAGATATTTAAACAAATGTGTGATAACAAAATTTTGTAATATAAAATGTGATACTTGAACCAGTCATTTTGATTGGTTGGAAGCTACAGCGTTAATTTTTGAACAGTAAATTTAGTGTTTATTTAATTTTATTTAATACGGTGGTTGTTTATAAATGGAAATAATTATGTATAATTTGATTTAATAAGAATTATTGACACGTTCTTGGAGACGTCGCAAATTCCTATCATGAAATAGTGGAAAATATAAGGAAAGAAATAGTGAAGCGATGAAGTGGTGAAATGGTGAAATAATGAAGTGATGAAATAGTGGTGAACTGGTGGAGGAATAATGAAGTGGAGAAATAATGAAATGTTAGAACCGTGAAATCGCGAAGTGACAAAATGGTGGAGTGGTGGTGAACAGGTGAAATGAAATGGTGAACTGGTGAAGTCGCGATGAATTCATAAAATGGCGGTGATAAGTTAGTGAAGTGGCGAAGTGACGAAATCGTGAAATGATGAAATAATCATGTTATGAAAGGTAATAATATGATTAAGGGATAGTGAAATTGGGAAATAGTAATGAAATGGTGAAGTGGTGAAATAATGAAGTTGTGAAATGGTAACATTGTGAAATCGTGAGATATTGAAATACTAAAAAGGTGGAGCGGTGAAGTACATAAATAGTGAAATAATGAGACATTGAAGTAGAAATATAGTAAAATAGTAAAATAATAAAATCACCACACATAAATAATATCTGTGTTTTTAAGTAGAATACTAATACACTATTATTAAAAAAAATAAATAATAGGATTATTACAAATATTAAAAAAATAAATTACTATTAATTATTTAAAATATCCGAAGTTGTCCAGTTTTCTTTCTTCTTAAGTTTATAGCAAACTTGTTAGATATAACGAGGGTTTAATTTTACTTTGATATAAAGTGATACGAAAATTATAGAACCCCCAAATGAAAATTAATATCCATAATAGACTTCAAAATTAAAATATATTCACTGCTGTTCATTTTAAAACTAACCATACAGATTGTTTTAATTAATTAAATATTGTTTCAACTTTGAGCTTCAAATTTATTTTAACGAACATAACATAATCCATCGTATAATTAATTAAATATTGGAGGTCATGAATATATTACACAGTAGTATTTTACAATCATATCACATTATTCGCTTTATTGTAGCATCTTTTGCATATGTATATATATATATATATATATTTTTTTAAATATATATGTTTAATAGCTAGATACATTGTCATCAATCGTAATTTATGTACATCGTTACAGCTGCGTGCACAATGCTTTATAAACAACTTAAAGTAAGCAAAAAAGAAAACGATAGCTACTTATGTCTATGTCACTGTTTCTCTTTCTACATAATTTACGTTATTACAATTACAATTGTTAACATCAAGCTGCTCTTAAATGTATTAAAAATCGGTAATTTAAATCGAGAAATTTGTATAAGGTTATAATTCATTCGCAACAAGGTTGTATAATTCATTCAGGTAAGTAAAAGTAAATCGAGGACATGGAATGAATAATTCTCGTATCATTTTCGAATGATACGATATCGAACATGTCAGGACAATTGACATATTAACACCTTAATTGTCAGAGTAGGGTCAGTCATGTCTAGCATGTGACACAATAATATGGATCAGTATCAAGGATATTAACACCTCGAGACTGCCACATTGAAAATGATCATATGCGCTGTTCATTATTGTGGCTATTGAATTCTAAGCTTAGTAGCTTATTTTTTCTTTGCATATAGAAATTTCAAATTTTCAAATGTATTAATTTAGGAATATAGTAATTTATATTTGAATATACTGAAATTTGAAATCTCCAAATTTTCAAATTTGAATGTACTGAAATTTAGAAATTTAAAATTATGAAATTTTTGAGTCTATTAACCTTCGAAAACTGTTCTGAATCAATTTAGCCTCTGAGAATTCAACCTCTTGTGATTACACGTATAGAACATAAGGGATGTAATAAAACACTTCTCTTCACGGGAAGTTTAAACTGCACGCAACCATACACGATATCAAGAATAGTAACACCTTGCTTGATTGTCACATCGGCTACAAATTTATTATTGAATAAATAATATAAAAATAAATTTATGTGATATAATATATCATTTACACAAGGTACTAATAAGCTTTATTTGAAAACTATCGTTCAGTAATTATAATATCTTATAACACGTGGCTATTTTCATTGTGACAAATAAATACGTTAAAAATTATTCATTTCTCAATAATGTAATTTCAGTAATATTCAGAATTGTCTTCCTTTATTTATTTTTTAATTGTTATCTAAGATTTCGGTAATATTAAAGACTTTCTTTATTTATTTTTTAATTATTTCCTAAACTGATTTTGAAGAACTTTGACGGCTATCAAATAAATTCACATTTGTAATTATATTTAAGTAGAACTGCTTGATGTTAACAATTTTACAGTGCTACCAGAACTTGATACATTGTCATCAATCGTAATTTATGTACATCGTTACAGCTGCGTGCACAATGCTTTATAAACAACTTAAAGTAAGCAAAAAAGAAAACGATAGCTACTTATGTCTATGTCACTGTTTCTCTTTCTACATAATTTACGTTATTACAATTACAATTGTTAACATCAAGCTGCTCTTAAATGTATTAAAAATCGGTAATTTAAATCGAGAAATTTGTATAAGGTTATAATTCATTCGCAACAAGGTTGTATAATTCATTCAGGTAAGTAAAAGTAAATCGAGGACATGGAATGAATAATTCTCGTATCATTTTCGAATGATACGATATCGAACATGTCAGGACAATTGACATATTAACACCTTAATTGTCAGAGTAGGGTCAGTCATGTCTAGCATGTGACACAATAATATGGATCAGTATCAAGGATATTAACACCTCGAGACTGCCACATTGAAAATGATCATATGCGCTGTTCATTATTGTGGCTATTGAATTCTAAGCTTAGTAGCTTATTTTTTCTTTGCATATAGAAATTTCAAATTTTCAAATGTATTAATTTAGGAATATAGTAATTTATATTTGAATATACTGAAATTTGAAATCTCCAAATTTTCAAATTTGAATGTACTGAAATTTAGAAATTTAAAATTATGAAATTTTTGAGTCTATTAACCTTCGAAAACTGTTCTGAATCAATTTAGCCTCTGAGAATTCAACCTCTTGTGATTACACGTATAGAACATAAGGGATGTAATAAAACACTTCTCTTCACGGGAAGTTTAAACTGCACGCAACCATACACGATATCAAGAATAGTAACACCTTGCTTGATTGTCACATCGGCTACAAATTTATTATTGAATAAATAATATAAAAATAAATTTATGTGATATAATATATCATTTACACAAGGTACTAATAAGCTTTATTTGAAAACTATCGTTCAGTAATTATAATATCTTATAACACGTGGCTATTTTCATTGTGACAAATAAATACGTTAAAAATTATTCATTTCTCAATAATGTAATTTCAGTAATATTCAGAATTGTCTTCCTTTATTTATTTTTTAATTGTTATCTAAGATTTCGGTAATATTAAAGACTTTCTTTATTTATTTTTTAATTATTTCCTAAACTGATTTTGAAGAACTTTGACGGCTATCAAATAAATTCACATTTGTAATTATATTTAAGTAGAACTGCTTGATGTTAACAATTTTACAGTGCTACCAGAACTTAACGTACACGCGTCAACTGTTTCGTTTCTTCATACGACACATATTCACGAACTTTAATTACATTGTTGGCTTCTAACGGAACACTTCTCTACAACAAAGTTACACAGTTTTGTTTCGTCTAGACAGCTACTTTCAGACGCCTGATGATTAAGCATTTCTATCGCGTTTTATGGCAATTACAATGACAATCGTGTGTTCATTGGACTTTGTTCTCTTGTTTTGTATAGCAATGCAACAGCGAGGCTTTGAGGGAGGTCTGTTTTACAGTTTAAAGATACATTTACATTTGACAGAAATTAT